TCCAGGTAGCAACCATTACGCAAGCAGATCTTTGAAGTCAGCACAGCTCATGTCTGTGAAGAAGCTCGTCTGACTCCTGGCCTGCTCAGGCCATGGGGAAATTTAATTATTTAGGTTTCTCAGCTGCTGTATAAATATCAAACATAAAACATTGGTTTATAATGGAAATGCTGCTGCTCAGCACATGGCAGGAGGAGCTGCATCAGCAGGGATGAGCGAGATGAGGCTGGCCAGCGTGAAGAGGTGCTGAGCTTTTCCCATGAACAAATTCCCCTGAAACTTGGAAAAAAACAAAATAAAAAAGGAAAAAAGGCAAACTTCAGAATGGATAAATCCACAAGACTTTGAGCATGAAACAGCCTTAAAATATTGCCAGGAGTGTCCAAGCAGCTCCAGTTCACAAAGTGACTTTAAGGCCTGGACTTATCATCACTTATTAATTTCACATCAATTAAATAAGAAGCACTACTAAACTGGAATAGAAAAAAGAATTTTAAAGCCATCACATTGTTATTTACTGCTACGATATTCCATTAGTTTATTTGCATTCAGTAAATCCGTGAAGAATTGAGGAAATGGGAAAACCAATTTTCCTAGTGCAATCCTCAACATGAGGCTGGTACCTAATACTTCAAGGTACAAATGCACTTAATTGGTTCTGATCATGGCTTTCCAAAAATACTTGGTTCTATTCAGCTTTGAGAGCAACACACATAGGAATAAACCTGTTCCATGTTTCTGTCTATACATATAAAACGCATAAGTGCTTCTGCCTGTACATAAACCCCAGCATGTTTCAAGTTTCATTTAAACAAATTTTTCTGCATTTTAATTGCATCTCAATTCCTAGAAAATTCTGTATGACAAAATATAAAATCAACCACTTAATAAGGAAGCACCATTTAATTTTTGTACTTTACTGTGGAAAATGGAAACACCAAGTAGGATATATTCAGCTTTGTAGCTACTTAAATATATATTCTCCTGGTTATCACCTGCACAGGTTCCAAATTTATCCCAGCTCTTGGTTTTGGCTGTAGTCAGCATGTTTTAAGAGGTCTTGTCCAGTAAGAATCAAGCACTCAAGGAAAAAAAAAAAACAAACTATAAATGTAAAACTAGATTAATTATTTAAATTAATGTTTCCTGTTTTTCCATGCTGCTCCTTGGGACAGGATTTCTCTGTAGATAGCCAAATGGTTTTGTAGCTTGTTTGAAACACAAAACCATGTCACGGTGCTGAGGGCAAGCTCGTACACACGATTCAATGGGGCAGGGGAAGGCAAGCAGATTTGTGATTGCAGTCACAATGGTACATCAAGATTATTCAGGTCCTTAAGCCGTGGTAAGTGCCAGCCTAGAAAAAAGTTTAAAATTTTTTATTTTTTTTTTTTAATTAGAAGAATTCAGAGGGTCACTTGATTAAACTGTGCATGGGAGATGCCTTTCTCAGCTTAAGACTCTTCTATCAAAGTCCTTGATACCAATGATCTTCTTTATCCAGCATTCCCTCACACAGTTATTTACCAGCTTTGTTCACTCTCTACAGGTGAAGATCCAGCATGAATGACACAAAATGCTGATTTTCTCATCCTCCTCGTGGGCACTGTGAAAGGGAGCCACGTGCTCTCACAGAGGGAAACCACTGCCTCCTGAAATAACACCCAGCCAAACGCTGAACTGAACACTCACAGGTAAGAGCGCTTTGAGCATTGATTTCAACAGATAATTATTTCCATCCTCTTCAAAAGAGGAGCTAAAGAGAACAAAAAAAAATTTTTTTAAACCAAGAAAACAGCAAAGCAACAGGAACAAAGAGCATTTTCAAAAGCAACTTCACTTTGTCTCAACTTTTTAGATGCACACGTGGGTCGCTGACAGGCACAAAACCCAGCTCCCCTGGGACCCTGCGCATTGCTGGCTGTCTTCTTCCAAGCAGCACGGTCAGGTGGTTCATCAGTCTTGTTCCTGCCAGGCTTGTGCAACATCACTTTCTGTCAAACGGAATCTTTCTCATCCTCCAACCCCGCCAGCATGCACAGGGCAGAAGGATTCAGTTTGATTTCTGACCATCAAAGCCAAATTTATCAGCCATTTCTTTCCGCCTCTGCCCAAGACATTTATACCACATCATATCAGATTATTGCAAACATCAAGTTCCGTATTTTGTCTAGACCAGCCCAAGGAGACAACTTTGCTCACCAAACACATAATTATCAACCACTTCTCCTGTTCTTTACAGCTCCCGCTATGTCCGGAGGGTAGAGGGCGACGGGTATGAAAGCATGAACCAAGCAACGTCCTGAAGAGAACAGATGAAGGCTGCGGGGAGATGACGATTCCTTTCTCATCTATCAGGTAATTAAATTTGTGGTTCCTCAGTTTTATTTCCTTGTTTTTGGAAGGTGAAAGAGCAGAGAGCAAGTTAGCACTCGAAACCTGAAAGTTAGCCATATTTTGTAGAAGTATTACATTAAACCGTCTGGCAGGACTGTCAGAAACGCTGATATCTGGTGCTATTGACAATTGTATACTGATGAAAGATGCAGGGAGCACCAGCCAAAGAGAGAAATAAGTAAACACATAGCAGAAGATAGTCATCTTTTGAGGCAGCTCCTGGAGAAGAACATTCTGTCCCCAGAACTCTTTGGAAATACCAAAAACTCATTCAAGAGAAGAGACAGGAGCTCGCTGAGCATCAGGGACAGCAGAGCATGAACCAGTTTGCAAGTCAGCATGAACTTTTTGAGTGAGAAAGGTGGGAGGGTACAGTAAGTGACCAGTCTGTGGGGCTAGACTTCCTTGTGAGAAGAAAAAAAACCACATGTTAGGATCGGGGATTAAAATTGTGAGAATCTGCCCGAGGGAAAATAGTTTAGAAAATTAAAAACTCCAAAGTAACAGACTGAAAGCTGTTAACCAACATCTAATTAATCCCAAACTGAAATCCCCACAACAAAACATTAAAAGGAATTACAGGCAAGAGAAAAAAAAATATTCATGCAGCAACCAAGCTTACCCAGCCCAAAATAAGTACTAAGAAAAAAAAATTTTAAAAAATCACCACAGTGTTGATACCTGAACAGGAAAAAACCCAAACTTTTGATGAAACTATCAGGACTTTACTGTGAATAGCCAAAACCACGGTTATGCTGTACAGTATCAGGTTTTGTTTTTTAATATCTATCAGAAGGCAATCTCTCATTATCATAATAAACATTAGACACCTCCTGTCTCTCAGTCTTGTTCAGCCATCAGCAAGTTCCTTTTCCAGCCTGCCATAACTGTCCCGGGTACTCAGACCTCTTTTACAGCAAAGCCTTCACTTGGACCTGGTTCTTCTAGGTCCATTTGAAGCTCTTTTTTAGTTCTTTCCCAAACTTTTAAATTTAAAGACATATAACCACAAAGTAAACTGAAGAGAAAGAAAAGTCAGCATGCTGTAAACACTGCAATAGCCCCATGTGCGACAGAGCAGTCTAGGGACACCGAGGGAAGGGGATCTTCACCCCGGGCAGGCTGGAGAGACGACAAAACAGATGATCCGGAGAGAGCAGAAGAAAACAAAAGTTCAGCTGCTGGACAGTCTGGAGCAAGTCACCTGGAGATGTCAAAACTAAATAGGAAACAGAAGACAAGCCAGTGCCACTGCTTTACGGAGAGATTTCTTTTTATTAAACAGAAGGTTGCAAATCCTGAGTCTTGAAAGACTTAAGAGTACATGAAGCTGGGCAAAACCAAGCAAAAAAAAAAAAAACAAACCCTGATGATCCATGGACCCAAACCTCTTCACTTTATTTAACGTCAAATAAGCTTTGCAAAAACAGATGGACTCAGCTGACGCCTATGGAAACTGATTTTGCACATCCTCCTGTGCTGTGTGTTTATCTGAATACAAAATACATTCCAGTACGACACAGAGTAGAGACCTCAGCTTGGATCTCAACATCCCAGAGCAAAAGACTGAAAAAAAACCCAAAACACCAACCACCCTACAAACACAGAAGAAAAAGGAATTGAGGTTTAAATAGCACTCACCATGATCTTTTTATTGGAAAAGTTCAAGGTTCATTCAGGGTCTTTTGCTAATTAAATTGTCATTTTAACACAGACGGGGTATAGTTGTTAGGTTAACAGCAGATACAGGCTCATGGAAGAAAGAGACCGTAGCTTTTTTTACAAAACCAATTTTGATTACTTGCAGAGTTGATATTTATCACAATAATTCTACTCTGGAACTTATTACAATAAAAGGTCATTTGAAATCAATCTTCTTTAATACAAGCTGTGATGAGTTGGACCGGAATTTTCAAAGTAAGTCAACATTTTCACTTAAGAACCCCACTGCTCTAGTGTTTCAGTCTAAATAGTTGGCCCGAGGGAAAAAAATCTGGCTGCACAAGGAAGTATGAAAACCATCTGGCTAACAGAACTACTGATCATCAGTCTGGAAGTGTTTAAACCACCTCAGATCTTCCTGTTCAAGCAATGCAGGAAACTCCAAAATGTACAATTAGGATAAAAAGAAAAAGATTAAGGAAAGGAAATCTGGAAATTGGTTTGAGGGATTAAAAAATAATCAAATGCTTCCTCTGAGTAGCTACATAGTCTTAAACACAGTCTCCAACTCATAAACACAAAAGGAACATTATTAACATGCAGAGAATATAACTTTCAAGTGCTGACCTGAAAATGTGATTAAACCCACCTGTGAGCACCAATTGTCTATCTGGTTTGCATTTGTCATTTACCAAAAGACAGTAGTTCCTCTCAAGTTTTCAAAACAAAACTCCAAATACTTCAAGGCCATTTGATATTGCTGCTTCTAATTTAGGATAAAAGTCTGAAAAACACTTCTCGGTCCCCACTACTGCCTTTTAGAAAATAAGGGAGCTGGACAGGAATCCCTGCACATGTAATCTCTCTGCAAACAACAAAATCTCTCTCCATCTCAAAACTCTGTCTTCCGTATCCTGGGTAAGCAGAGCATGGAAAGCTTGTTAGCAGATGATGTAGCGGGTGACTCCTGAGCCACGAACTTGTCTCACTCTCTGGCAGTGGCGCAGGATAGCGATGATATTATAGAAGCGCCTATCTACTTTCATTTGGGTGAACTCTCTGATATCATCCTCCACAATAAAAAATTCACCTGGAAAACAAATAAATGACTATATTGTAGGATATGCTTAACACTTCACAAGTGACATTACAACCTCTTCTTACCAATTCATAGAGTCAGCGAACGGTTTGGTTCCTTGGAAAGGACCTTAAAGAAACCTTAAAGGTTGGAAAATAATAATTCTTTGTTAATTAAGAAAATGCAAGAAAAAGACTAACCACACGGAGAGGCATCCTCTCTGTGTTTCTTTAAGAAATCAGCACAGGAAGGTCCTACCATCAGGGCTGGCAGCAGATCCCTTCTTGTAGTTGATTAGCTACTTCTAAAGGAAATTCCCATTATCAAGGGTTTGTAAAAAAACCAAGGCCCTAACTGGAGTTAAGCGTTTAAAATGCTGCAACAGAACCCCAGGAGAAAGTCCTCACAAGCTAATAGTAGACACGACGAAGGAGGGAGTTATTCTAAGCACTCCATAGCGATATTCACTAGCTGTGATTTCATATCCAGTCTTTAGACACTGCTTAAATAGGAGATAATTACAGATCTAGTAAAATGACAGTACATTTAATACTTCCTGTAACACAGCATCAGGCTTTAACCACGCCTCTTCACAAAACTGTAAGAATGAAAAGCAATCTGAAACCAGGACCATGCTAACTAAGGTGAAAGAAAAATGTCCAATTCTCTCTAAGGAGAGGAAACAGAAGGAAATAACACATTCTAGTGTCATGCTTCCAAGTCTTATGAGAAAGAAGTCACAAAGCTAGGGGTGTTCCAGCCCAAAAAAAAGAGGATAACATTTTCCCTCCACCTTTTGCCCTTAAAGGCAGGCAGAGGCAGCATCATCTTAGATAAGATGGTGGATCTCTGCCTTCTACTAAATTATCGAGGAGTTCTTCCAGCTTAACTGAGGAGAAAGTAGCTGATGCTACTTCCAGAGACAATAACTGTCAAAAGCTGGAGGTCCTCCCCCAGATGGCAACTATACTAGAATCTCAGAGCTTGAAGCACTGCCACATTCTCATACAGATGAGAAGTGGAAAGTTTCTTTACCAGTAGAAAAGAGAAAACCTGCATAAATCCTTAAAAATAGAACTACAGTTGGAGAGAGATCGTTTGCAGTTTCCAGTAACAGGGCAACACACCTAAATGGTGTCAGGAACTCAGGGATAATCTGCATACTGGTTTCACAGTCTGTTATATCTTGGGGAGCACCAGAATGTCCCAAATCTGTGCAGAATACAATTTCTTCTTATATTTGCCCAGAATTCAGGGCAGGAACATTCAGCACAGCAGGATCTTGTTTATGAAGAAACCAGAGCTGGCTAAACGACAGTGGTTTGGTTGGAAACAGTAGGTCCATGCGCTAAGTAATAAGCTAAACTAACTGAATCACCTTACTGGGTGGGAAATTACCCTGACAAACCAGGCAGGATCTTTTCTCATCTTGAAATCAGAGGAAGAGGTCAGTTGGCAATCGGCCCAGTCTGAGAAACTGTGGGAATCCTAAGCAGGGACACTCACAGTAGAAATTTAAGCAAACAAATCAATGAATGTGCAACCTCATCCTGAAAAATGCAATGGATAAAGACATTTAATCATTTTGCGCTGGCCAGATAAGAACCATCTGACAGCCTGCCAGACCTTTTCTCTAGACTTTCTAGATGATTAGTCACAATAAACAAAAACAAAACAAAAAACACCCTACCACGTACACACCCCTACGCTCTTTCTCAGATGCTGAATGTCCTAGCTTCCTAACTGAACTTTCCAAGATAAACAAGAAAATAAAGTCTGGCTCGCAGGTACTTTAAGAAATTTAAAACCTCAGTTTTTCAGACTTAAACCCAAACTACCCGAGCCCAAAACAGAAAGCAGTCACATGAAGTAGTCTAGCTGCATGGCTTTATTAAGGTCTTTACAACACTGACTTTCATATGACAGATTTATCCCATAGGTCTCAAAATAAAGTGCCAGGCATGTCCATCATATCAGAATTCCTTCCCTACAGAAGAGATGCATTTAGATCTAGATGTCAGTCATGTTATCACCATACCATAAATACGGAGAGTCTTGATCAGTGACAAATCCAAAGGAAGGAAGAAGAAGTTGTAGTTTGTCATAAGGTGACTCGTGAGTACCCAGTGAATGTGCTTAGGGCAGAATGTTCTCAAGTTCTGTCCATGGCAAAAATTAAGAGGTGTTGTTAGAAAAAGCGCTCTCTCTCTCTGTCAGACAGAAGAGAGTTTGTTCCACGCTTTATGTCTGAACTTGGAAACATGAGGGTATTTTAAGGACATAGCCAAGCTTGATCTGTGCAGTACACCCCTCCAGGAATAATTACGTACTTGTTCTCAAAAGGAAAGGAATGTCAAAAAGGAGATTTTAATACTAGAGATTTACTGTGCCAGATATCTTTAGCAAAACTTGCCTGTAAGTACAACTTGCTTTCAAACTGAGAGAAAGACATTTTGGTGCATTTTCGCTTCCTTTACGCTTCTAGGATGAGAAAACATCTTAAGATTATCAGACAGCCCTGTCTCTTCCACAAACCCACTGCAGCATAACTGATTACCCAGATTTTACAACTTCAGAACAAATTTTTAGTAGTCCATGTCCATTCCAGCTTAAAAACTGAAAGCACAGTTTGGTTATCAAACCAGGAATTTCCAGAACTTGTAGTGATTCCAATTTAAATCTTTGTGCATTCTTTTTTCTACAACACACCATAGAAGTGACAAAACATATAAAAAATAACAAAATCAGTTATGGGAAACCTCTTCAGTCAAAACAATAACCCTTGCTGCTACACTCTATGACTTGATCCAGAAGAGGCGACTGGATTTTATACCAACTACATAGTTCTGTACAGTAATAAAACATTATATTCCTTATGGCCTGGAATCTGATTGGGAGACGAATCTCATTTCTGTCCTCTTTTTATATCAAGGGAAAATCAGAACTTTCATTGCTCCAGACTGTCAAAGTGTTGTTCGCTCCCCGTAGTGGACCGGAATTCTTCAGGGAATCTGATCTAGACTGGGGTACCCCATGCTGGGAAGGAAAGAAAAGCCCTGCTAAGTCTACAGATTTTTTTTTTCCCCCCTGTTCTCTATCTGAGAATAAGCAATAGCAGGTTTTCTAAAATTTTTCAGGACTGATGGCTTTAAGCACTCCCACATATTGAATCATTCCACCAATTACCAGAGTGCCTGGATGTACTATTTTCTGAGAATAAGATGCTATAAGTTACCCTATAATATGAAAAGGATGTGCTGTCATTAGTCATTCAATATCTTGTCTGGTATTTCTATACTTGTGCTGCAATATCCAAATGCTACAAAGGAAAAAAAAAATATATACCTTTTGTATCCTCAGTTTCTTCTTGCATGATTCTGCAGTAGAGATTTCTGACTGATGCATTCACAGATTTCAGAGGACAATGTAGGATCTTGTACCTGCCCATGATAGCCTTGTTTATATCCTGAACAGCTGCATTAATCTGATCACATTTTAAACGACCTTTCATATACCTACAAAGAAAAATGAAAATCAGTAACCAGAAAGTCGCAAATGAAAGTTCTGTTTATCTTTCTCTTTCATCAGCCTTAATTGAACATGCTATTCCTTGTTAGAGGCAGTTTCTTCTGCTTTGTGTAATTAACAAATGTAGTTTGCTTTGTTCATTTCCCTGATTGTTTAATATTGTTGAAGGAAAAAAAGCCATGACAAAACCTAACCCAGAAAGATGAAACATTAGGAAGCTAAATTAAGACATAAAAACCATCCAGTGCTTAAGCTGTAAGAAGCCGTTCAAAACGGAATAAAGGCTGGTCCTACAGCGTACTGCTTAAAACTACAAACGCAGGAAAATGAAGCAACTTTGCAGAAAACACTGCATGAACCAAAACTGAAATTAAACGTTTCTGCCTAAGAGTGCAATTTGGTTCCTATGATAATCATAAATGACCCGTGTTTCATCTTACAGCCATTCCTTTGGTTTTTTTTAAGAAATAACCGTTCTGTGTCGTTTTCTGTCTTTTACTGTGCAGCTTACTGAGCTATACAGCCACAGTTCTGCACTACCAACATCCGCTTCTGAACTTTCAGAGCATTTCATAAAACTAGTACTAAAATAGTAAGATCTGTTGATAACAGCCTGGAGGTACAGGAAGCACAGAAGATAAAAACAAAGTGATGTGGAAATATTAGAACACTGGAATATTTGCAAGTATGGCTATTCAGTATTTATAGAGGTAAAGGCATGCATTCAAGAAAAAGGAAACATGCTACAAACTGAGAACCCATTACGCAAGAATTAAATCTGAAACTCATATTACAAGCAGTGAGCTAAATACTAAACAAAACCCCAGAAAACACCACAGTAAAAGCCAGTGCAACCTTGCAACTTGAGTTATCCTGTGATCCCTATGCAGTCGCTACAACAAACCAAACTTGGCTGTTTACGTTTTGGTTCAGTATCAGTTTGCAGATGTGTGGAATTGAGAAAAATGTTAGGATGAATGGGGGTTCTTTGGGTCAGTACATCAGGCAGCTAAAAGCTGCAGGACAATAAGACCAAAAAGATCAATGAACAGGAGATTCTTCTTCCCTCATTTTAATCTGAATGGGAAAACTCAGCCTCATGCAAAGAATTTAAAACACAAGTAGCTAATCAATGACGAAGTCAATATACCAAACCAGAATGTGGGCAGGCATACTGCAACTGCCAACTAAAAATAAGTGCTCACAGTAGATTTTAATCATAGCCAGTCCCTGCCAGGGAGACAAATCTGCATGGGGTGTCTAACAACACCTAAAAGCCAAGCCATTGCTCTAATTCAGACTGAACTGCTACTAAGATATTGGTAGCCAGTTTTCAACTTAATTGATATTTTGATTAATCCAGATTCCAAGTTGGATGTGCAGCCATTTTTATAAACACACTCTACTTCACATGCAGAACATCTTTTCAAATAAAAGCAGCAGTACCACCGCTGAAAGGCAGTTACACTCTGCGTAAGGAAGTAACACAGCCTATAACCACAGAAGGGCTTTGCCTGTATACATAAACTGCTCTTTATTGCTCTGTCTGCAGCCCTTGGCCTATTTACAAAGTCACAGGGGAATGTGCAGAGCTATTAAGGCCAGAGGTATAAAATACCTATATTTAAGTTCCTGTGCTCCTACTATCAAGAGAGATGTAGTGAATGCACTTAAAGCCAAGAGAACACCTCAGCTCATCCTGAAGCAGAAACAGAGAAGCAGGATTCAGTTGTCTAAACCTAAGAACCGAGGGCTCTTTGAGAGGCCCTCAGGCATCCCAGATGCTCCCACGGGGACAGCAGATGTGCTGGGGTTTACAGAACATTCAGTAAGGAAAGATCTGGCAGCACACGCTAAAGCATCTGCAATGGCACCAGACAGTTCTGCTCAGGCAACTGAAATAACACCTTTAGCAGCTGTTTTCTGATTCCACCGACTATACTGACTGACATTCAGAGACAATAGTGGGAGTGGGGGCACTCGGTGGGTGCGGAGACACCTGTGTCACAGACACTTCAATGTAGGGGCTTCAATCTGAAAGTAAATTCTGTCAAAAGCAACTGCAAGTTTTCTTCTATGCACAACTGTAAGGATCAGAAAAACCGCCGGCGGTTCCACAGTCTTCTCATGTTTCCATCCTGCCATGGCTAGCAAACCCATAAATGCTGACATTTATTTCAGTCCATACATGCACTAATACAAAAATACAAAGTTGGGAAGTTCCAAATTCATCCATTTAATGTAGATTTAAAATAACTTTAAAATCTGCTTTACTACACCAAAAGCAAAACTAATCAGAACTCTTAAAAAAAAAAAAAAAACAAAAAAACAAAAACAGCAACCCAATTTATTTTTTTAATCCACAGAAGCCCTTTTCAAAACATTTCTTTCCCATAGGTATGAAAACCAAAGCACAGTGCTATGTTCTTCAAAGAAAATAACATCAATATATCACATATATACCACTGGAAAAGAGATAAGTCTCCTAATGGCCAGTGCTGCTCCCTCAAAAAACGCTTAAGCTAAAAGAAACATATATTCCCTGAAGTTCCATCTTCTGAGACTTCAGAGTTACAACGAATGTGCAGATTCTAAAAATATCTTAAGCGGTAAGAATTTCAGAGACAGAATAAAGTGGGCATTTTCCCTTGCCTTGAATTCAAAGTTAACTGAGACATCTACTGCACAATTTCCTTTTTCTTCCTCCAAAAAGTGTCTTTCTGCAACAGATTGGAAGGCGAAGATAATTTACAAGTTTGTTACTGTGCAAGACTATTCTATTGGATCAAGGTGCTCCACATCCGCACCTCAACGCGGCACATACCTCTGTTAAATACCTGCTGCAAAATTCAGAAAATATGAAGTCACTGAAGACTATATCTCCCTTTTAGTGCCCTAATGATGTCAGGGATAGATTTTCCTTTGCTTTCAGACCAAAGGCAGTGAAAACCACCTACATTTTTCAGTTACAATCTACCACAGCGGTGGTAGGGAGAAGAAAAAAAACTCTGGGCAGAGGCAAAACCCTTAACACCCAGCTGGTTTGGGATCTAGCCACATATGGGAAGCATATGCACAGCTGTGCTTTATTAAGTCCCTCAGACTGGCTTAGCAAAGGCACAGCCACAGCTGAATAAAAATGCAGTGGTGTCCCTTGTCACTATCGCCAGCAGGTATAAAGAGAATCTCCAGCAGAACCAGTGCTGACCTGGAGAACTGGGATATGAACGCTATTCTCATTCTTCTAGGATAATACGTTAGATGTGAGAAAATTCGGGTCACAAACATTTGCTGCATAGATTTGATCAAATAGCACGTGAAATTGCAAGTTTAGCGGACTCTCCTAA